TTGCTCTATAATTACTCCAACAAATCATGTTTAAATGATTAAACCAGAGTTTTTTTTTTTTTTATCTTTCCCCTAGATCTTAACCTTTAATTATCACATATTAAACATCATGAAATATTTAAGGTTGCTAGTTGCTTTTCAACGTGTTTTAACTACGGTACAAGAGGTTTCTGTTTTATTTTACTGATCAAGGTGAGCAAATATTGATTTTTCTTCCTTTTTTTTGTTTTTGTTTTTTAAGGCAATTTGTTTTAGCTTTTGTGATGTTAACACTTGTCACACAATGCAGGATGATGATGAACAGAGTCCCCATTATGCTGCTGTGAGTCTAAGGAATGGAAGTGGACAACAGAATCAAGAGGACCCAGACGGTGATTGTATGTACACCAAAGTAAGAGGCAGAAAAGAGCCAATGTCCAAAGCAAGAAACCAACAACTCATGACAGATTCAACCCTGTGTGAATGACGAAAACCCCCCAAAATAATTTCCTCAGCACTGTCTGCAAACCTCACTCATGTGGTGACTGTTTGGCGCTCCACTCGTGTGGTAAAGTTGTTGCTTTTGCAAAACAGAAGTTTCCACTAGTGGAACAGAACTAAAACATGAAGTGTTGGCATGCAGTCCACTTTAACCTGCTGACACAGGTTGATCTTGCAGTACTTGCTGTATGACTAGAAAAAGAAAGTATCATACTGACCCAAATATAGAAAGACCACGATTATAAGACAACCTCCTCTCTCCAGGACCGGGTTTTAGAAACAAAACAAAGGAAAAAAAAAAAAAAAAAAACACTGATAAACCAAACCTATTTGGTTTAAATAAACTATTTTATATTGAAGTGCAAAGAATTTTGTTAAAATAATACTGCATTGAAAGATTTGTGCAATTAAACAAATAAAAAAATCTGAACTTTCCTCACAGAACATCTCAAAAACCTGCATGAGGCAGCAAACATCCCCTGCTTCGCTGCCCTCACTGTCACTCCTACATTTACCCTGGAGCTCTGCAATTTTTTGATGAGCTTTTATTTTGCTGTTCACGTTTTTCCGGTCTTTTTGAACATGTCATCTTCTGACATTGCATTCTATAACACCATATTTCTTTGTTGCCTGACAGTTGTTTGATGCCTCTGCTGCATTGACCACCATTATTTAAAAAATGGCGTCATTACTCCGCATCAAATGTTTGCAAACTTGGCTGACTTTTTATCCACTCCCTTCTAGGGAGCGATTCCCCATTTGTACCATCCTTGTCACTTCTTCTCTGTTGTGATAGGAAGATGACCCCAGCCAGGTGACTGGCTTTACAAAAAACTGGAACCCTCTGCTGTTGCATTCATGTAGCAACTCCAGGCAACTGTTGGCCTGTATAATTGTTATGATCCCATTTATAAGATGAATCCACATTTTCACATTGATTTTAATGAAAAAAATCTTGTCCTATATTCGGGTCAATATGGTACTTGTAATTCCTGCCCATTACAAAGTGTCAACCGTCAAAATATGTAATACTGTATATATTAGCTGCTAGACCAATACATAAAAGTGTACATTGTAAAGTTTTGTAATGGTGATCTAAATATTTTTTTTAAATAAAACTCTATAAACTGTATTGTGTTGCTATTGTATCCCCTGACATCCTTAAATGATAACCAGTCTAACCAATTGTCTACAGAAAGTGTATATTTATGAAATAGTGTCCAGCGAAGTGATGGTGCCACTGACAGACTCATGGAGGCTGTTTCCTGTTTGCCAAAAAGAATAATTAAGGTCTCATTTGTTTACCAATTTTGCATTCTTTTCCCCTTATATCTTTGGAAAAAAAGTATTAAACTATATAATCCAGTAAATTTTTTGTTTGTAAATGATTTGTGAAGTGGACGGTTAATAACTTATGATGACACCTTCTAACTAGGAAGAGAATGTGTGTTGTTACTCCAAATTAACAATGGGACCCTCCACTCTCTCATTAATGCTCTCACCATCTGTGAGTTACTTTATACTCAAGATATTTTTATTAATTTTAAATGGTAACTTAAACTGTCCTTTGGGATATACTCAAACATTGGCAAATTGTTTTATAATATTTAATATATGTTTGGGCTTTTTTTGGTCTGCTTCTAAAGCATCATGTTATTAACAATCATGAACCTCTTGGAAACCAAACATGAAATATGTCTAAAGCAACAGTAGCATGGCTTATTCTTGTCCTGATTAAAACGAGGAATAAAAAATAAAAAAAAACAGTCAGGATTATGTATTTTTTTAAAACAACATATTTTTTCCAAGGGGAAAAAACACACACCTCTTCACCTTTGAAAAAGTTGAACGTACAAACAAACGAAAAAAAAAAAAAGCTCTCTGGCTGTACCACATCAACTTTGTTCTGGATACATTTCCATCACAACACTGCAGAAACACCAAGAGGTATGCAGAAATGAATATATCATCTACTGTAGGGTAATTTTCAAGGTGGACTGAATCAAGACCCTTCAACAAATGATGCTGTTTTTTGCTGGAAAATATTGGAAAACTGTTAAGATTTTCATAATAAAAGGATGATGAATGATGAACACAATTTAACACAGATCAGACCAAATACTTAAAAACTTAACACAAATAAATACAAATATATAATTAAAAACTATTCAAATGAAAAAAAAAAACACAAAAAAGCAAAGCAAATGAAACATATTTCATGTTTATGTATGAGCTGTTCTAATTTCCAGATGGAAGACCTAATCGTGAAACTCTTTGGCTTCATATCTAGAATCCTAATCCCAAACTAATAAGTATCCACACCTCAGTCCTGAATGTGACCCCTGACCCGAGCATTTACTCTCATGGGGTCTGGGCAACGGGCCCCACCACTGATCTCTGCTCACTGAATTGCTGATTGGCCGAAAAAAGTGAAGCTACCGACCGGCATGTTGGTACTCCCCACTCCCAGGGAGACATGCATTAAAAATGCCTACATGTGCAGCATTTGGCTGCAAAAAACGGGCAGTTTGCCGGCTATGGAAAGACTATGGCTATGGGAGAATTATCCTGCCATAATGCAAGAGCACATAATTTCAATTTGAGAAAAGAATTTCATCTTCTTG